CCATGCTCCTGTATGCCTAGTCAACATGTACTCTTCCTACAAGACCCACTCGAGCACCACCTCCCACTGAAGTAATTTTTGTGCCCCTTCTATGGGTGCTGTACTGTGTAGACAGCTCTGTCCTGGCACCCATCCAGCACAGGGGTTGACCTCTCTTCATCTTTGCATTCCCCTGCTTGGCCCAGTACCAGGCAAACAGAAAGTGCTCCGTGTTTGTGGACTGAGGCTGAATGACCAGGTCACTGCTGCCCCACAGAGAGGTCTCTCAAGAGAAAACAATGTGGAGAAATCATGTCGAGAAATCATTCATTCAAGAACAACTGTGGTGCACCTATACGTGCTGTGGGAAATATTTTTTTAAAGGGTACAAACCTGGTCCCCATTTCAAGAAGCACAGAGTAGCAAATAAAAGCTATATTCAGTAAATAGTCCTACCGGGTGGTATGACAAGTGTCAAATAAGTTTCGACAATAACAAATAGCTGAGAAAGTCAGGCAGGCCTGGTTAGGACTCAATCCTAGATCTGCCTCTTATTAGCAAGGTACTTAACTTGTGTCTGACTCAGTCTCCCCATCTGTAAAGCAATGATGAACTCTGACCTCCTGTTCTACCACTCCCCGTCCTTCCCTCTGCTCCAGCCACTCTGGCTTTCTTATTGTTCCCCAAACTCTAACATCATGTCTTCTGTACTGTTTCCACTCACACTTCTAATACCAAATGTGTGGGGGTTTTCTTCACACCAACCAATTCTCACTCTCCAGACACTAACTGGGTACCCTACAATTCAATTCAATTCTGACCCCAACCACCTGGAGTTAGCGCAGACCCGACAGGTAGGGGCTCAGGCCCACAAGAAAGCCCACACTGCACATGCCAGTCGCCAAGTCTGGGCCGCCTGTATTTCCAACTGACTGTGAAGTTAGGAGGTTCCTACAATCACCTCCTCAGGTTGGGTAATTCGCTAGAGCAGCTCACAGAACTTAGGAAAACACTTTATTTACTATCACCAGTTTATTACAAAAACACAGCTAAGAAACCACCACATGGAAAAGAAAGGGCAAGATATGGGAATGGAAGTTTCCGGGAGCTTCCACTCCCTTTCCAGGCATCACGTTCCCAGCACCTTGATGTGTTCACCAACAGGAAGCTCTCCAAAACCCATCATTTAGGGTTTTTAAGAAAGCTCTATTTGTGATCCACTGCGTTGGTTAAAAAAAAAAAAATTAAAGAAAACTCTATGCTGCAGGCATGACTGATTAGATCATCGTCCACTGGTGACTGGCACAATCTACAGAGGTTACCATATGGGGCTGAAACTTCCAATACCCTAATCACATGGTTGGTTCCTCAGGCAATCAGCCTCCATCTTGAAGCTATCTAGGGGCCTATCAAGAGCCCTCTGGTTAGCAGAAACTCAGGTAGAGGTGAAAGGGATTTGTTATAAATAACAAAAGATGCTCTTATCACCATTTCTCAAAAAATTACAAGGGTTTTAGAAGCTATGTCAGGAACTTGGGACAAGACCAAGTATATATTTCTTCTTACTACACACCTGCCTTAGGACTCTCACACTTTATGGTTTCTCAGTCTAGGACACTTCTCTGAAATCTGAATCATTCAGGTCTCTACTAAAATCCTACCTTCCCAGAGAAATCACTCCCTAACCATCTACTTAAAACTTAAAACAGCATCTTCCTCTCCAATCATGTCATTCCTTATCTTATTCCCTTACTCTGCTTTCTTTTCTTTTTTGAGACAGGACCTTGCTTTGTCAGTCAGGCTGAAGTACAGAGGTGGGATCACAGCTCACTGCAGCCTCAAACTCCTGGGCTCAAGCCATCCTCCTGCCTCAGCCTCCCAAGTGCTGGAACAACAGGCACACCACTGTGTGCAGCTAATTGTGTGTGTGTGTGTGTGTGTGTGTGTGTGTGGTAGAAACGACATCTTGATAGGCTGCCCAGGCTGGTCTTGAACTTCTGGCCCCAAAATGCTTTATTTTCTTTACAGTACTTACCAGTACCTGAAATAAAGCTACTGAAGAAAACCAAAACATTTCACCTCAAAATAGACTTATTTGACATATTTTGAGATGGCTGTTCAGAGGGCCTACAGATAAAAGTAGTCCAACTGTCCTTTGTGAGAGATGAGCATCTGTAGAGAATCTTCATTAATGCAGCCAAGGTTTTTTAAAAGGCCCTTTCTTGTCTGGATCTGGGAGAGATTAGCTGAGTTTGGAAGCTTCAATGTCTGAAACATTTATTCTCCCTGAGGGCTGCTACCTGTGAGGTTTCATCTACATAAGACCACTTTTGCTAGTCCGGTCTCCTCTTCTCTCCCTCCTATAACCTGATTTACAACCATAACCTGTTTTTGCCCAAGCTTAGAGGCCCCAGTCTTTCTGTAACCTCAAGATGGTATAAAAGTGGTAACGATCTTGCCTTTCTTTGAGATTTTATTTTATAAGACTCTCACACAGCTTAATAAATGTGTATGCCTGCTCTCCTACTAATCTCTCATTTGTCAGTTGATTTTTCAGTGAATCTTCATGGGGCACAGAAGTTGTTTTCCCTTAAACCCTATTCTATATATTTGTTTATCCTCCCCCTCCCCTCCCCCGGCCTTTTTTTCCTATCTCCTACTAGGATGTGAATTCTTGAGGGCAAGGTCTTGGTCCTAGCTAAATCCCCAGTTTCCAAAACACTCAAAAAAATATTTGTTGAATAAATGTTGATAACAAGACATAATCCCTACATCAAAGGGTTTTTGTGAGAATTAAATGTAAGAGTGCACATAGAGGGATAGGTAGTGCATAATGCAATGCCCAGCACATGTGTAAGCTTAATAACGTTAGTCAACACTATTATCAGAGGATTACAGAACACAGTCAGGTCAACATGGGCAGGAGCAGTTACAGAACGTTTCAAGGAGGTGGCAAGTCTTGGGCTTGATTTGGAAGGATAAGGATTTTTTTCTCTAGGTGGGGACACTGTAGGAAGTTGAAAGTGTCTCCTCTGCACAAGCCACCCCTCCTAACATTTCTTCATACCCCTATCAAATGCATAGTCATCACACCATACAAATGACCTACTAATCAGCCTCTCTCTCTCCATCCATTAATCCATTAGTTTTCATTTCTGTATCACCAGAGCCTAGATGAATTCACTAAAGGACACCCAGCAATGTAGCTGAATTAGGTTCAGAAATTTGTGGAAAAGAAGCAGCCTACTGTTCTGTCCAGCAATCCAGGCCTAAGTGTCTATCCTAAAGAAAAAGTGTCAGTATTAAAAATCATGTACAAAGATGTTCACTTGTAAGAAAGAGAGGAAAAAAAGTAGCCAACAGAATGCCCACCACTAGGAAACCATGAATAAACTATGATGCATTCAAACTCTGCAGAGGTTGCACTGAATAAGACAGGTCAACAATTTCCAACATATACTGTTAAACTGAAAAAAGAGAATACACATACAGTGATCTCACTTAGGTAAAACAAAAATTTTTAAACCTCACACAAACGAAACCTCAAGAGTTTTCTGAGTTTGTGCATATTACATACAGATACATGTCTTGTTAACCTCTCTTCAACACTGCGCCTGAAACATAAGTTCTCAATAAATATTTGCTGAGGACATAGGTACATGAATAGAAAAAGACTGGAAAATAGATCTGCTTTTCATGCAAAGTATTTCAGGCCGGTTTGCATTTTTAAAAGACTGTCTTAATGTATTACTCGTACAATTAAAATGAATTTAAAACAGTTATAAAAGTTCCAGGGCCTTGATATACCATATCTGGTCTTAAGCATCAAACGCATATCCGGTCCAAGCACCAGACTGAGTAACTTATCCAGGCAATTAACTTCATTGTTTAGAGCCATGAGGGCTCTAGCACAGCAAATCGACACTCACTTTACCTCTCCAGCATGGGACCCCTTAAAAGCATAAAGATGAATTTTGAGGTGCGGGGTTTTTCATTGTTCGACACGCTCTTTCTAAAGGGTCCTCTTCTTCCAAACCACGACGCCCCTGGAGCTGGGGCTCTGGCTCGGCCTTCCCTGCGCATCCCCAGGAGAGAGGAAGCGCCGAACGTGGGGAGGAAAGTCCTCCGAGTGTGAGTGCGCACGCTGCGCGGGCGCGGGCGCGGGGGAAGGAAACTCACTTTCCGACTGGCCCCTTCTCTGGCTGTGATGTGTCTCTCCTGCTCAGGCATCCTCCCGCGCGGACACGGAATTCTTCTCTGATCCGGCTCAGAGCCAAAGGTCACCAGGTCCGTGGAGGAGAGCGCGGTATAAAACCACGGGGAGAGTAGGCGCTGGGCGTGAGGGCGTCGGCGCGGCTCTAATGCAAGAAGGGGTCCGGGCACCGCCCGTTCATTTGGGACTGGGCAACGTGCTGCCCTAGCCACAAGGGTGTTTCAAAGTTGCGCGCCGCCGTCCTCCCGACCTGCGGACGCGGGAAGAGTGGGCCTCGGACTCTCACCCACTCCCTCGGGGACTGGCAGTGCCTGCCCTGGAGCTGCCGGCCCCGCTGGTGCCTCAGTGTCCTCGGCCGTGCCGGCGCCACAGGGAAGCCAGTCCAGGTCCGCGGTCTTGGCCACCTTGCGCTGGTGCGCTCCGACGCGGTCCTGGGATCTCAGGCGTGTGCTGGAGCGGAAGGGCAGGTGAGCGGTGCAGAACCCGGCCGCAGACGCAGCTCCCAGAGCTCGCCCAACGCCTGCAGGGAAGGTGCCGGGTGGCGACGCAACGGGTCCGCTCTGCGCCGCCCCTCCTCGGACTCTGAGCCTGGCTGCCGAGGGCCGCGGATCCCAAAGGGAGCAACCGCGGCGAGAGTGAACTCCGCACCTGGAAAATCGATCCGTGGTGCGCAAAGGTCAGCCACTGGCCTCCAACCGGCGGCGGACTCTCGGCCGGGGACGGGGGCGCGGACGCCCAGGCGGGGGCTTCCAGTGGGGGAGGGGACCGAGGGCGGGAGCGACGGCTGTCAATCACAGGCCACGCCCTCCTCGGCCCAACCCCCCCCCACTGCTGTCCCGTCCAAGGGGGCGGGACCCGTGTTACCCACTCCGGACGATAGTCTATGCCTCGGGAGATTCTATTGGCTGGAAGGCCGTGGGAAGCGGCTAAAAGTAACCAATTGTAACGCACAATTGGCCCGTGTGGGCGGGGGAGCACGGCTCGCTTTCTCGGGAGCCAATAGAGAAAAGGAAAGTGAAGCATTTCCTGTGTTCGCGGGGCGGCGGAAGATGGCGGCCGCCGAAGGGGTCTGGTCCCTGTGCAACTTGTTGAGGTGAGGAGCCGGTCGTGTGGGCTCACAGACGTTTTCTGTTCTATAGTGGTACTTGCCTGTCCAATGGAGCTATATTTTGCGGGGAAATGGCCTTCCTTGTCATGAATCTAAGGTAATTTCTCAGGCCAATGAGCAGTCTTCCGTTTTCTTGGAGGTCTCCTATATAGGCTGAAACAGACTAGGTCTTGACTCAGTTTTCCGCGTTTTCTTCTGCTTTACTGTTGACTGAGGGGTCGGGTTCCCTTCCCTGTTTCAGCTTTTTCTTTCTCTTTCACACTCTAATTAGTCTGTCATAAATTGTTCATATTCATTCCTCTTTTTTCTTTATGATTGAGCCAGAGACATTTTCCAATCTATCATGTCTCTTTTCGTTAAAGAAACAGGATCTTCCTTCTCATCTTAGTTTCTCCTCTTAAACTCACCAAAGCTTCCATTGTTAACACGTCACTTAATTATAAAACTTAGGTGGAATTCTCTGCTTTTGACAATCTGTTATTTTAATTTTTACGATTGATGTAAAAAAGTTACATAAAATATATAACTTTTTACATCAATCGTAAAAATTTTAAAAAAAGATAATTTGAAGTGCAAATTACACTAGTGGATTTTAGTTAACAATATGAAAAGGTCATTGATAGGGTTTCAGAGTCTGTATTGCAACTGACATTCAGAAATTGCATAACTTGTCAAATCTGGTCTATCATCAAAGAATATCTGTAACTACCTGAAAAGTTAAATATATTCTAAACCTAAGATCAATATGTATTAAAATATACTCGCTTTTCCTACTACATATCTAAGTGAGCCTGAACTTTCGTCATATACTTCAACAAAAACAACACATCACTACAGATTTAATGCAGAAATAGAAAACAGGAGCCACTATCTGGTTTCACGTCAAGCCACACATTAAAGAGATTTGCAAAAAACGTAAAACATTGGCACCCTTCTTGCTAAATATCTTTTTTTAGTTTGGAAAATACCGTTTTTTAATAAACATATGTTAATATGTAATGAAATGATTTTAATTTTAAATGAATTCATAAAAATGTTTAAATTCTTTAGTTTTCATTTCTAATATACTAAATATTGGTAGATATAAGCAGTGTAAACCACTGGTTCTCAACTAGGGGTGACTTTTGCACTTCACAAGACATTTAGCATTTGGCAGTATCTGGAGGTTTTTTTATTTTTTTTAATTTTTTTAGAGATAGAGTATTGCTCTGCTGCCCAGGTTGGAGTGCAGTGGCATGATTATAGCTTACTACAGCCTCGAACTCCTGGGCACAAGCAGTCTTCCCACCTCAGCCTCCCAAAGTGTTGGGATTACAGGCATGAGCCACCATGCCCAGATGATAATTTTGATTGCGAGGGTGCTACTGGCATTTAGTGAGTCAAGATCAAAGATGCTACAAAATGTCCTATAATGCATAGGACAGCCTCCCCAACAAAGAATTATTTGGTCCAAAATGTCAGTAATGTCAAGGATGAGAAACTCTGATGTAAACAAAAGCTCTGTTGGATCCTTGGTAAAATTTTTAAGAGTATAAAGGTGCTCTGAGACTAAATTATTTTAGCTTGAAATAAAGTGCTTATGTGGGATTTCAAATAGAATCAATTACCTCTTCAAGTACACAATTGGAAATCCCACATGAGATTTGTTCACAGTAGGAACAAATGAGGATTTCTTCACAATAGGAAATCCCACGAGAATTTTCTTTCAAAATAATATCGATAAAATATTTATTTCTGGTCAGGTGCAGCAGTTCATGCCTGTAATCTCAGTGCTATGGAAGGCCAAGGCAGGAAGATCACTTGAGCCTGGAAGTTTGAGACCAGCCTGGCAACATAGCAAAACCCTATTTCTACAAAAAAAACATTTTTTTAATTAAAAAATGTTGGGTGCAGTCCCAGCATCTCAGGAGCCTGAGGTGGGAGGATCACTTTAGCCCAGGACTTTGAAGCTGCAGTGAGCTATGATTGCACTACTGCACTCTGACCTGGGTTATAGAGTGAAACCCTGTATCTAAAAAAGCAAAATTTACTTTTCTGATGAATTTGTATGTTTTCTTTTTTTTTATTTTAATTGCATTTTAGGTTTTGGGGTACATGTGCAGAACATGCAAGACAGTTGCATAGGTACACACATGGCATTGTGTTTTGCTGCCGTCCTCCCTTTCACTCACGTTCGGCATGTCTCTCCAAGCTATCCCTCCCCCACTCCCCCCCACCGCTGTCCCTCCCCTATTCCCTCCAGTAGAGACCCCAGTGTGTAGTACTCCCTTCCCTGTGTCCATGTGTTCTCATTTTTCATCACCCGCCTATGAGTGAGAATATGCGGTATTTCATTTTCTGTTCCTCTGTCAGTTTGCTGAGAATGATGTTCTCCAGATTCATCCATGTCTCTACAAAGGACACAAACTCATCCTTTTTGATTGCTGCATAATATTCCATGGTATATATGTGCCACATTTTCCCAATCCAGTCTATTATTGATGTGCATTTGGGTTGGTTCCAGGTCTTTGCAATTGTAAACAGTGCTGCAATGAACATTCGTGTGCATGTGTCCTTATAGTAGAATGATTTATAGTCCTTTGGACATATACCCAGTAATGGGATTGCAGGGTCAAATGGAATTTCTATTTCTAAGGCCTTGAGGAATCACCACACTGTCTTCCACAATGGTTGAACTAATTTACACTCCCACCAACAGTGTAAAAGTGTTCCTATTTCTCAACATCCTCTCCAGCATCTGTTGTCTCCAGATTTTTTAATGATTGCCATTCTAACTGGCGCGAGATGGTATCTCAATGTGGTTTTGATTTGCATCTCTCTAATGACCAGTGCTGATGAACATTTTTTCATATATTTGTTGGCCTCATGTATGTCTTCTTTTGTAAAGTGTCTGTTCATATCCTTTGCCCATTTTTGAATGGGCTTGTTTTTTTCCTGTAAATTTGTTTGAGTTCTTTGTAAATTCTGGATATCAGCCCTTTGTCAGATGGGTAAACTGCAAAAATTTTTTTCCATTCTGTTGGTTGCCGATTCACTTTAGTGACTGTTTCTTTTGCCATTCAGAAGTTGTGGAGTTTCATTAGGTCCTATTTGTCTATTTTGGCTTTTGTTGCCAATGGTTTTGGTGTTTTGGTCATGAAGTCCTTGCCTACTCCTACGTCCTGAATCGTTTTGTCTAGATTTTCTTCTAGACTTTTTATGGTGCCAGGTCTTATGTTTAAGTGTTTAATCCATCTGCAGTTAATTTTAGTGTAAGGTGTCAGGAAGGGGTCCAGTTTCTGCTTTCTGCCCATGGTTAGCCAGTTTTCCCAACACCATTTATTAAACAGGGAATCCTTTCCCCATTGCTTGTTTTTGTCAGGTTTATCAAAGATTGCATGGTTGTAGATTTGCTGTGTTGCCTCTGATGCCTCTGTTCTGTTCCAGTGGTCTATTTTGGTACCAGTACCATGCTGTTTTGATTACTGTAGCCTTGTAGTATAGTTTGAAGTCCGGTAGTGTGATGCCTCCTGCTGTGTTCTTTTTGCTTAGAATTGACATGGCTATGCGGGCTCTTTTTTGGTTCCATATGAAGTTCATGGTGGTTTTTTCCAGTTCTGTGAAGAAAGTCAATGGTAGCTCGATGGGGATAGCATTGATTCTGTAAATTACTTTGGGCAGTATAGCCATTTTCACGATATTGATTCTTCTTAACCATGAACATGGAATGTTTCTTCATCTGTTTGTGTCCTCTGGTTTTGGGTTTTTTTTATCTTGCTCCTCTAGCTCTTTCAATTTTGACAATAGGGTGTCAATTTTGGATCTCTCCACTCTTCTCATATGGGCACTTATTGCTATATATTTTCCTCTGGAGACTGCTTTAAATGTGTCCCAGAGATTCTGGTATGTTGTGTCTTCGTTTTCATTGGTTTAGAAGTACATCTTTATTTCTGCCCTCATTTCATTCTCTATCCATTCAACATTCAAGAGCCAGTTGTTCATTTTCCATGAAGCTGTGCAGTTCTGAATTAGTTTCTGAATTCTGAGTTCTAACTTGATTGCACTATGGTCTGAGAGACTGTTTGTTATTATGTCAGTTGTTTTGCATTTGCTTAGGAGTGCTTTACTTCCAATTATGTGGTCAATTTTAGAGTAGCTGTGATGTGGTGCTGAGAAGAATGTATATTCTGTGGATTTGGGGTGGAGAGTTCTGTAGATGTCTATCAGGTTTGCTTGTTCCAGGTCTGAGTTCAAGTCCTGGATTTCCTTCCTAATTTTCTGTCTTGTTGATCTGTCTAATATTGGCAGTGGAGTGTGAAAGTCTCCCACTATTATTGTTTGGGAATCTAAGTCTCTTTGTAGGTTGTCAAGAACTTGCCTTATATATCTGGGTACTCCTGTATTGGATCCATATATATTTAGGATCGTTAGCTCTTCTTGTTGTATCGATCCTTTTACCATTATGTAATGACCTGCTTTGTCTCTTTTGATCTTTGTTGCTTTAAAGTCTATTTTATCAGAGATGAGAATTGCAACTCCTGCTTTTTTTTGCTCTCCATTTGCTTGGTAAATCTTCCTCCATCCCTTTATTTTGAGCCTTTGTGTATCCTTGCATGTGAGATGAGTTTCCTGGATACAGCACACCGATGGGTTTTGGCTTTTTATCCAATTTGCCAGTCTGTGTCTTTTGATTGGTGCATTTAGCCCATTTACATTTAGGGTTAATATTGTTATGTGTGAATTTGATACTGCCATTTTGATGCTAGCTGGCTATTTTGCCTGTTAATGCAGATTCTTCATTTTGTTGATGCTCTTTAGCATTTGGTATGTTTTTGGAATGGCTGGTACTGGTTGTTCCTTTCTATGTGTAGTGCCTCTTTCAGGAGCTCTTGCAAAGCAGGCCTGGTGGTGACAAAATCTCTGAGTGCTTGCTTGTTTGCAAAGGATTTTATTTTTCCTTCACTTCTGAAGCTCAGTTTGGCTGGATATGAAATTCTGAGTTGAAA